CACCTCCTTTACCATTACCTTTTATATCACCTTTTGAACCCAGTGATCCTGAACTGAAGGCACTTCTTGTAGATACGCAGCCATTTGTCAGAAAAAACTTTAACCCCTTTTGGGGTTCACAAAGTAGTTTTTTTTTTTAATATAACTATGGATAGAGACACCAGTTTTAACTTTTAAAAGGAAACTTTTGTTATGCTAGTTGCTAAATGTGGAAATGTATGTACATCTATATTACTACACCTTTAAATTTAACTAGATTTCATGTTTAGAAAACAGGATTTCCATTTTCTTTAATCTTGACAAGGGACTATCCTTATTTCTAGAGTTTGGTTTTTTTTTTTTTGTCAGATATTTTAGCCCATCTTCATTATTTCCTATTACAGTGTTGTTTAGTCCTAGATTTCACAAACGCTGTCTGCTTTTTTTTTTCTCCCCCCCCCTCAAGCTCAGTAGTTGTGTCGGGTTAGAGTATAGTAGACCAACTGCTGACAATAATGTTACTTCTTCCTTTGCCTTGGGTTAAGGCATCTTGGAAATGTTAGCATTGACTGTATTTTCCTGTTACCTTCAGATACCTGGGCAGGGTAGCACTGTGTCATTTACGTTGCTTGTATGTAGTTGTTAAGTATCTAATTGGTATATATGAAATAACTTCTTCCTTTGGAATAATATAAATGGAATTGCAAGAGGCTGCCAGCTCAGTATGGTTTTTATACCTCGTTTAAGCCTCATTTATAAAAATTGGCAAATGTGAAACTGGGATTTATTTTCATCTTTGTAATCAAACGGTAAATTGAAATTAACTTCAACAGTTTGTGTTAATGAATTTCGAAATGAACTAGCTTTGCACCAAACACTTTGGTGTAAGTATTGTACAGTTTCAGGAAGCGTTCTCCTTGGAATTGTGGGACATGGCCTGACTGTAATCTCTTGGAGAACCGCACATTTCCCAGGATAGGTTTGGAAAAAAGCTTAACACGAGCAAGGAATTATTTAGCAAGGGTTGAAAAATTTCTTACAGTACAAGATGAACATCCCACAATCTAGAAACCTAAAGTGCTCTAAAACTGAAAACTTTTTGAGTATTGATAGACTCAAAGGAAATGCTCATTGGTGCATTTTGGATTTCAGTTCCTTAGATTTGGGATGCTTGACCAGTAAAATATAATGCAAATATTTGAAAACCTGAAATCATCCAACACACTTCTGGTACCAAACATTTTGGATAAGGAATACTCAGCCTGTATATGGAAATTGGGAAGGCAGTGTTTGGGTTTAGCAATATAGCTAATCCCCTTTGTAATAAGCCTATGGAGAGGGAGGTTATGTAGAAAGGTCGTGTTCATATTTTTAGAACATCTTAAATTTGTTAGAAGAGAGTTTGCAAGGAAAAAGGGACCTGTTTTATTTCGAGACAACTGCCTTTTTCACCTTTTTGGTGGCTTAAAATCCTAATCTTTTTTTGGAAGAGTCTTAACTGAGCATCTTTTTTTTAAGAGACAGTAAATCTGCAGATTTATCACTTCCAATAAATAGCCATTAATTTTTTTCTTTTTTGAGACAGTTTCACTCAGCGCCCCAGGCTGTCAGTGGCACAATCTTGGCTCACCGCAACCTCCGCCTCCTGGGTTCAAGCAATTCTCCTGCTGCAGCCTCCCGAGTAGCTGGGATTACAGGCATCCGCCACCATGCCCGGCTGATTTTTGCTTCTTTAGTAGAGATGGGCTTTCACCATGTTAGCCAGGCTGGTTTCAAACTCCTGACCTCAGGTGATCCACCCGCCTCAGTCTACCAAAGTGTTGGGATAACAGGCATGCGCCACCGTTCCTGGCAATAACCACTACTTTTTAATACAGAAACAGACTTGGGAATGTTGGTACTGTTGGCACTTAGTTTGAATATTATTTTTGTGTGTGTGTATGTATGTGTATATATATATATGTATATATTTTTAAAGATGGTTTTGCTCTTGTCGCTCAGGAGTGCAGTGGTGCAGTCTCGGCTCACTGCAACCTCTGCCTCCTGGGTTCAAGTGATTCTCCTGCCTCAGCCTCCCGAGTAGCTGGGATTACTGGCATGGGCCGCTGTGCCCAGCCATATTTAAATTTTTGTTTTCTGTTTACATTTGCTATTTGTTAAAATTTCTCACACCAAGGTTTATGAATATAAAACATAAATCTATATGCTGAAATACAGCAAAAGAGAACAAATAGAAGATTGGTAGAGAAATCAAGTGTAGTAGGAATCTGTTGATTTTATTTGAAGGCATAGATTTTGAGGTTCAGACTCCTACAGTGGGATCTTTGTTTTTTTGTATTATAATTTAAAATGGTGCTTTAAGATTCAGTCAACAGTTTTTTTTTTTTTTTTCTTAAGGTCTTGTTGCAGTAGGAGAAAGAGCACAAAAGAGGTCTGGGAACTTCTCTGCTGCAATGAAAGATCTGTCAGGTGAGAGCACATTTTTGAATTTCCTCTTACCCTAATCCCATCTTGAATTATTTGTTGCAGAAGTTGGTGGAAATAATTTAAAACTGGGTATTTTTCCCCCCTGCAGGCAAACATCCTGTGTCTGCTTTGATGGAAATCTGTAATAAGAGAAGGTGGCAACCACCTGAATTTCTATTGGTCCATGATAGTGGCCCTGATCATCGCAAACATTTTCTCTTTAGGGTAAATATGAATTTCTGCACTAATTATACATGTTCATTAATGTGATGACTTAGAGGGTGAGGGGTGAACTTGATCACAAGATTAAGATTCTGTTCATGGGTGGGGGTTTGTTATTTGTAGTTAAGTGGTGGGGGTTTTTAAACACAAGGGTGCTTTAATATGACTTATCAATGTCCTGTTTTTTAAAAAATTGGGGAAAAATGGGTAAATTCTAGTAAATAGTTTGTTATTTTCTAGTTGAATGTGGGGAACTAATTTAATAATTTTATCAGTCTTTTTCTCAATTTGGAGATCTGCTCTTAATTTGCAGTCCCTTTCCCAAATGATTTGCTTCTTCTGGGTAGAGATTATAATTTGACTTACATAGTATGGGTTTTATATTATTGTAAATTATTTTCTAGCATTTAGTAAAAAAAAATACAAAGCTAATAGATATTAAAGTTTGATGCTGTTCTTATTGTATGTTTTTCTTGAATAGGTATTGAGAAATGGAAGCCCTTACCAGCCCAATTGTATGTTTTTCTTGAATAGGTATTGATAAATGGAAGCGCTTACCAGCCCAGCTTTGCCAGCCCTAATAAGAAGCATGCTAAAGCCACAGCAGCTACTGTGGTTCTTCAAGCAATGGGCCTTGTACCAAAGGACCTCATGGCTAATGCCACTTGCTTCAGGAGTGCCTCACGTAGATAGATTGAGGTTTTATAATAATCATTTCAGATAATTTTACTCTGCATCACAATGTATTTCCTCTTTAATGTTGTAAATATTTGGCAATTTAAGACATTGTGTAAAAAGCAATCTGTAAAAACATCTCCAGGCTTTGATTTTTGTACCATGGAAATTGTATTTAACCATACAGGGTTTTGGTATGTTTATATTGTTTACCTTAGTGATGTATCTGTTTAAGTGGCTAACATCCAAACGATTGTTTGAAGGCATCAGTAATCTTCAGTGTGGAATGTTAAATAACGCTTTTATACTGTATTTTGTACTATGATGTAACTCCCCTTCCTTATGGCTAGGCTGCTGTAACACTTGCCTGTAATCAGTGAAGGGCTGTGCACCTTGTACTATTTCACAATGGGTTCTGCTGGACAGATATTGGGCCAGTGTTATTGAGGTAATCAAGCAAGATCTGTTCCACAGGGCTAAAGCCACCATCTCCCCTCAAAATTTTGTAGAGGTTATAAAAAGAAAGTGGTATGTTGTGTGATCAGCACTAAGTCCTGCATTCCTGTTAAAGCCACTTGGGTCATAAGAAGGGAGTCAAAAATGAAGTCTGACTAGAATTCTATTGCAGAGGCCAAGTACATTTAGTATGGCATTGAGTTGTGATATAGTTTTACTTTGATGTGCATTTTGAATTTCAGCTACACCTAGATAGACGTAAAATGATAATTAAAATGCTGTAACCAACTTATCTAATAAAATTGGCAACCAGCCACTATTTTGTTGACTCTGAGAAAGTTAAAGTTTATGTTAATTTTTAGGGTCCGATAGAATATTTCATGTGTATTACGGTGGTATTCATATGCTATGTCTCTAAACTTTATTTTCAAAAGCTTAAGGCCCAAATACAAACTTCTCTGGAATAAATGTGGTGTTTTATTTTCTGGATTATAAAGTGAACAAATACTTAGATACTATTATTTCTTTACCCAATGCTTTTGATTTCTAAGCACTTTTATTTAAAAAAATGTGAATTATACAATCCCGCCTACACACGCACATGCACATGCACACGCGCACACACACATTAAATACTACTTTGCCATGACAGCTCAGCATACTTCACAATTCTTAACACTATTCTATGTGGAATACAAAATGCCTTTTTATCTGAATTAACATGAATTAAAAAAATTTTAGTATATGTGAAAATAAAGAAATTATAGATCAGTAGGAAAAATGTTAAGGTAGATGCATCAGCAAGTCAGCTAGGTTAGTAGAGATTTATAAAACAAGAACCTACTAACAGTCTTAGGTAAATGGTAAAGTAACATTTTTGCCCTGATGACTTTGTCACAAGGCCAAGAGATAATTGTGTTTAGTCTCAATTTCCTGTTTGCAAGGAAACATTAATTCAGTTTTCTACTCACTATACAATTAGGTTGTAGGGATATAGATACCTCATTTGAGTGATCTGAGCTTTTCATCTTTATATCTAAAAACTAACCTGAAAATAGTAAAAGCAGAAAACACTGATTTAAAAAATGCTACTGTAATAAAAATATAAATGTTTCAGTATTTTAAAGTATATTCCTTTAACTTCAGGAACCTTGAATTTCCTTGCTAGAAGGCTTTTCCTCAAAGATTCCTTTGAGGCTTACTTTGGTGTTCAGGATCTCCAGTTATAAATGTAGTCTCTCATCACCACATTCCGTAAAGACGATTTCCCAAGTAACGGTATTTCACTAAGTTGCTCCAGAGTCTTAGGGTGCAAACCACAGTTAGTAAGCTCCTTATGAACAACCTCCTGTGGAAATTTGTGTAAAAGTCAGTAAAAGGCATATTAGTCTTGAAACACACGAGTTTTAATTACTATGGAGACTGATTAATGTGATTCATCCTATCAACAGAAGACCTAAGAATTTTTGTAGTGACAAAATCCCAAAATATTAATGGTTATTTTTATAAGTCTAGCCAACTGAGATGCATGAGACAATTTTAAAGGTCTTAACTCTAAAAATCCTTATATTCAAAATCAAAGGCAAATATGGTTTAATACCTATAGTGAATCATGTTTCCTTAAAACTATCAAGGAATTGGGTACTACTGAGTTTTGGATCCAAGAGGACAATGAAAATAAAATTTCCCCTTTTGGGAATGGGAAGTTCCTTAGTCACTGTTAAAATTGTACTTGTACTGATGCCAGGCGCCTTGGCTCAAACCTATAATGCCAACACTTTGGGAGGCCAAGGTGGCAGATCACCGGAAGTCAGAAGACCAGCCTGGCCAACATGGTGAAACCTCCCCCACAACCCGTCTCTACTAAAAATACAAAATATAGCTGGATATGGTGGTACCTGCCTGTAATCCCAGCTACATGGGAGGCTGAGGCAGAATTGCTCGAACCCAGGTGGATGAGGTTGCAGTGAGCCAAGATCAGGCTGCTGCACTCCAGCCTGGGCAACAGAGCAAGACTGTCTCAAAAAAGAAAAAATTTGTACTTGGACTCAATTCATGAAAGTTAATTCAACAACTTATGGACATTATTCCTTCCTCTAGTAATTCATAATTTATCTAATTAAGTTTAATTACTTGAAACACAAAAGTGACTCAGCATAAATGACTTCCTTCCCTCCAGCTAGTCTTAGGAAACTACAACTAAAAGTCTGCTCATAGATGTCTACTTACCGTATTAAGTACTTTGTCCACTGGCAGGCAGATGTTAAATACAGCAGTTGGTTCATGTGGATATAGTAGTGCAGAGAAAGACCCGCTCTGTGAAGATTTGAGCAGCATGGTCAGTGAGTGCAGGCAATGAGGCATGATAGGACCTGTAATCTCCAAACTAAATTGGTCTCTGTATCCAGAAAGAGCTTGTGTCTTCACATTTACACTTCGTGCCTTCATGAAAATTTAAAGAAAAGGAAAATGATGATCATCTTTCAACTTTTTTCTAGCTAAAACTGTGGTTACTATGTTTCCATTTGGGGTTTCCTCTCTTTAACCGTTATAGAACAAAAGTATTTTCCAAGACATCAAAACAATGTTACGTGAGTAAAAATACTTGGCAAATTTTCAGCATCCTCTCCATATTATGAGATTTTTTCAGTTGAAATATATTCCAGAGAATACCATTTTTTCATATAGTATTTTATCTGATTTAGTAATAGGCTGTCAATGCAGACTACTGGAAAAACAAAAATTTAAAATTCATTCAATTCTATTGCTGACATTTAGCACATACTTTGTATTTACATGTATAATTTGACTTTTACTTATGTATGCCCCAGTTTTTGACATCTGCTATTATTTAATATAACATTCTTGGCCATGTCCTTTCACTAGTGAAATGAAAATGGAATCAAGCAACTATTTCTTAAGTGGCAAAAAAGGAAATTAACACCAAAATGCTTTTGTTCCCAATTACTTTTTTGCCAACTGTTACTTTATTCAGTCAGAAAATTTTTGGCCAGGCATGGTGGCTCATGCCTGTAATCCCAGCACTTTGGGAGGCCAAAGCAGGAGGATCGCTTGAGCCCAGGAGTCCTAGACCAGCCTGAGTAACAGACCCCAAGTCTACAAAAACTTCAAAGTTAGGACAGGCGTGGTGGCTCAAGCCTGTAATCCCAGTACTTTGGGAGGCCAAGGTGGGTGGATCACTTGAGGTCAAAAGTTCAATACCAACCTGGCCAACGTGGTGAAACCTCATCTCTACTAAAAATACAAAAAAACAATTAACCAGGCATGGTGGCGTGTGCCTGTAATCCCAGCTACTCAGGAGGGTGAGGCAGGAGAATCACTTGAACCCAGGAGGCGGAGGCTGCAGTGTGCTGAAATCACGCCGCTGCACACCAGTCTGGGTGACAGCGTGAAAAAAAAAAATTAGCAGGGCATAGTGGTAAGCACCTGTGGTCCCAGCTACTTGAGAGGCTGAGGTAGGAATGTCTCTTGAACCCAGATGGTTGAGGTTGCAGTGAGTTGTGCCACTGCACTTCAGCAAGACCTTGTCTCCCCAACCAAAAAAAAAAATTCATATAATTTAAAAAGAGTCCAGGTGCAGTGGCTCACAGCTGTAATCCCAGTACTTCTGGTGAAACCCCATTTCTACTAAAAATACAAAAATTAGTTGGGTGTGGTGGCACTTGCCTGTAATCCCAGTTATTCGGGAGGTTGAGGCAGGAAATCCCTTGAATGTGGGAGTCAGAGGTTGCAGTGAGTATTGCACCACTGCACTCCAGCCTGCTGACAGAGCGAGATTCCCTCTCCAAAAACAAGAAAAAACAAAACAAAAAGCTGGGTGTGGTGTGTGCCTGTAATCCCAGCTACTCAGGAGGCTGAGGCATGGCACAAGAATCATTTGAACAGGGGAAGAAGAGGTTGCAATGAGCTGAGATTACCCCACCGCATTCTATCTAGCTGGAATAGCACAGCAAGACTCCATTAAAAAAAGAAAATTTCATATAATTTACATATTTTCACATAATTTCTTTGATGTAACTGTCTTATGTCAGTTTTTTTGTTTTCTTAATGGGAGGAAAGCAAAAGCAAAATATGTACCAAGTAAAAATGCTAGAAGTTTTTTTTAATCAAGAATTTATCCTATCAAAGTAAAGTACTTCTTAAAAGCTAGGTTATGGAGATTTTTATTACCTTAAGCATTTGCATTGTGGCACCTCGGAAAGCAACAGGGGATAAGAGGGTTGGAGGAAGGCCTGCCTGTGGACCTGAGGTAGCAACTAAACTCTTAGAGTTGATCAAAAAATTGAGCAATGTAAAGGTGTTGATTCCTTTCATGAACACAACAGACTCAGGTCTGTGATCCATTTGTACTTCATGTTTCTCTTTACGACTGAAGATAACAGTCAAGGAAATTGCAAAAGCAAATCCCACGTACTGTGGAAAGCAATTATCTCGATTCTGAATCACCTGAGACCCCTTTTCTCCATAATGAAATGGAAATGCTCTTGCTACCTCTCTTTACTCAATGATTAAGGCATATATTTCATCAAAATGTTAATTTAAATTTGCTACAAACTGACACCTAAACATAATTTCTTCTCTAGTCAAAACACACCTATTCTCCCACAATCAATCACAATTGAATGTTTTGATTAAAAAAGGTTTCATAGTTCACCATTTATTGATACTCAGGGGCTTGTTATTAAATATTACAATGAAAATTAGTTTTAATATAATCTGAAGATAATTTAAGATTATAGTTATATAAAACTGCCAATGTTAAACTTCTCACTAACGTCATTAAATGAAAATTAATTCTAGTTAACAGCAACTGAAAGGATACAGCTTGATAGAAAGTATGTCTGGCTTTTTAATTTCATCTTGCACTCCCATCTCTTCCAGCCAGGAAAAACTTTCCTCTTCGTCCTCATCACTGATGGTTTGCTCCCTAGGAAATTGCTGTAGTTAGAGTCTCTATTTCACAAAGCTGCTCCTGTACAAATCTATTTCATGGGTCTGTAAGTCACTGGATGACATAAAAATTTATTTTAATCACATACTCCCCATATCCCAGGCTTGTTCCAGATGCTGTCTCCTTTTTATGGCCACTTTCTTTTATTAAAGGCAGAGAAAATTCAATACCTACATGAGGAAAGAAAAATGTAACTGAGTTTTCATTAAAAGTATTTAACAGGCATGCTGTACTTTTCAGGTGTACAAAATACGAAATGTGAGTTTTTACAAATGATCTATTAAGGCAGTATTTTCAAGCTTTCTTGACACAGTACATATACACATAAAAACATATCTCCTTGAAAGAGGTTCAGCAAACAACACATACATGTGACACTCTTTCATAAATTATATTGTATTCTAGTTCACTTTTTGAAAACGTACTGATTGGGTCCACTAAATAGATTTCATGATCCACTAATGGGTTGACTCAGTTTGAAAATTATGTTATTAAAGGAGTAGCTGGTACTACAGAATAATTTCTAGAAGAGTGTATATAGTGACTATCTGGCCCAATATGTGTTTTATTTTAGAGGTCAGAGAAGGGAAAACTATGTATAAGGAACAGTTTAAATCAGGGGTCCCCAATCCCAGGACTGTGGATTGGTACTGGCCTGTGGCCTGTTGGAAACCGGTTTGCACAGCAGGTGAGCGACTGGTGATGGATCATTACTGCCTGAGTTCCACCTCCTATCACATCAGTGGTTGCATTAGATTCTCACCGGGGTGCGAACCCTATTCTGCGCATGTGAGACATCTAGGTTGTGCATTCATTAGGAGAATGGTCTGATGTGGAACAGTTTCATCCCGACACCATCCTCCTCTCACCCATGAAACTGGTCCCTAGTGCCAAAAAGTTTGGTGACTGCTGGATTAAATAATTGAGTGGGGGGAACCAGAAATAAATCACATGTTTCTTAGTGTTGCTAACCAACTGGTAAAAGGCATTTTAAATTTAAACAGCTTTTAGGCTAAAATAGGTTTACTATATACTACAGTATCCTTATTTTAAACCTAGACTTTACCTTCATTTCTCATAGCTTCTCTTAAACCTCGAGTTGTAGGAGATACAAGAGCTGTGATTAAGTCATTTCCAGCTAATCCTGCTGCTCGGAACAGGACAGTAAACTGATAGGTACAAACGTAGAAATAGGGGCAAAGTTTTGTCTTCAGAAGATTATATAGAGAAGTAAAGCTCACAGACCTATGAAGTAAAAAAATTTTCTTTAGGTATTATTAAACATTTAATGCAATATTTATAATTTAATTCTGTATAATTTAGTTTGAGACCTGTTTTAAAAGACAACACAAATATTTTAGATACTGGTTTGAATTTTTGTGGTTACGTATGACTTAGCTTTAAAGGACTGAAAATGGTTATAGGGAATTGCTGATGATTTCTCAATACTTTAATAGTGTATATGACTTAAATAGTTAGTTTTTCTTCAAACAAACCTTGAGAATTGCTTGCTGACTTTCTCTAAGCTGCTGATAAGAAAGGAAGCAAACACTGACAAGAAATAGCATTAAAGAATTAGGTGTGTGTGTGTGTGTGTGTGTGTATATATATATTTATTTTTTTTTTTTTCAGACAGAGTTTCGCTCTTGTTACCCAGGCTGGAGTGCAATGGTGCAATCTCGGCTCACCGCAACTTCCGCCTCCTGGGTTCAGGCAATTCTCCTGCCTCAGCCTCCCGAGTAGCTGGGATTACAGGCACGCGCCACCATGCCCAGCTAATTTTTTTTTTTTTGTATTTTTAGTAGAGACGGGGTTTCACCATGTTGACCAGGATGGTCTCGATCTCGTGACCTCGTGACCCACCCGCCTTGGCCTCCCAAAGTGCTGGGATTACAGGTGTGAGCCACTGTGCCCGGCGCCCTGTCTGTATATATTTAACAAACACTTATATACATCCTACCACAACTGGGTAAAGAATGAATAGCAGCTTAAAAAAAAAAGTAAACAGTTTAAATGTTAATAGGTTCAGATAAAATTCACAAGGACCCAGATATCCTTCTGCCATTAATCTATCCAGTCACAAATATGATAAACAGAGAATACTGCTAAAATGAAAATCCACTATTGAATTACACAGGCTTTTCTTACTAATCTTACCAGTCACTCATCAAAACATGCTGCAGGGTTGCATCATTTGACCAAGGACTTGTCTTTCCAGTCATTTTTCTATCAGCTCCAATACGAGGGAACAGTGGTAGCCAAGACAAAGCAGGGTGGAGCCAATAGACAAGGCTCTGCTGGAAGGTACAACGGAGCTCAGTGGAGAGTTTGGGATCCTAAAATCCAGAGGTGACAGTGGGCAGTTTTTGCCTCTTGAGAAATATAGAATTTCATTAAAGATACACTGAATAGCTAAACACTTAGGTCTAAGAATCTTTATTGTTTACTACAGAAACGCATTAGTAACTGTTACAGGAACTAAAACATAGTTTATCTTTATTTGGGCCAGATGTAATGTTAAACCATATTATCAGAGCATTTAAACACAGATGGGAACGTGCTTGTCTCTACCACCCTTAAAGACAATGACTACCTTTTTTATCATGAGGAGTAGGGGTGGGCACGCCTGTGCAGGTAACACTATGTCCAACCCTCTCTCCAAAATGCTGTTTTAAAAGTAGTCAATAAATGATACAGCAAATCACAAATCATCCTAATCTGTTTATTGAAAAGATGTATATACCAAGACCTCTTTCAGGATAATCCTTTTTAACCTAGTTTGAGATTGAGATTTAAAAAAAAAAATTTAAGAGAGTCTCACTCTGTCACCAAGGCTAAAGTCCAGTGGTGCAATCAGCTCATGCAGCTGTGACCTCCCAGGCTTAAATGATCCTCCCAACTCAGCCTCCCAAGTAGCTGGAACTACAGGCACCCACTGCCATGCTCAGCTAATCAGCTAATTTTTTTTTTTTTTTTTTTTTGGTAGAGATGGGGTCTCACTGCATTGCTCAGGCTGGTCTCAAGTAATCCTCCCACCTCACTCTCCCAAAGTGCTGAGATTACAGGCATGGGCTATTGTGCCCAGCTTCCTAGTTTGAGTTGATGCTTCAAAATATTCAAAATATATTTCTCTAAAACCATTCTAGAACTCACGAACTCCACTAAATTTATAAAAGACTATTACAAAGGTAAGAAAATCAGTAAATCCATCAGTCCTCACACTCCCACCCAATTGCTTTCCATTTCTTTGTATTTCTTTCTCAAAAAGCCGTAGAGAAAAATAAACAATTATTGCCTGCAACACTGATCAATTTGCAGGACAAGTCTCTAAATTTATGAGCTGTTACTCAATCTGACTTAAAAAATAAAAGTATGACAGCACCACAAGCATCATTTGGGAAAGACAGTATTTCCTAAGTCTTTGTATCTTTAAATGTCCAAAGAAAAACTTAATGGAAGGCAGTATCTCTGCTATTTTACAAAGGAGAGCATTTCACACTTACTTTGTTATTTTAACACATAAGTATTTTATTTCAGAATTACCTGTATACTTTTAGGCAATGTAACTTCTATTGCCCTACAATGCTGGACAAGACCTTGAGCCTCTTCCTGTGCTTTCAAATGATCTGCCCAGGTAAAGGGTTCAGAAGAGGTGAAAAGGAGTCGGGTTTTAATACTCCAGTCCACAGGTAACTCAGTACTTTTTGAGGATGAAATATCAGACTCGGAGAATGATACTTGTGGAGTCTTTAGAAAACAAAGAATGCAAAAATTAGTCGAATGCCAGGGAAAAAACCTTTAACCTAAAGATTCTTATAAGCTAACATACTCATTATCACTGAAAAGACAAAATTATTTAAACTGTATAACATGAAAAATATATTACACACTGTAAAAAAAAGCCTGAAAGGAGTCACACTAAACTTTTAACAGTGGTAACTTACCTGTGGGAAGCAGAAATTTGCTGCTTTGGGGGATGGGGGTGAAGGGCAGATTTTACTGTCTAGTTTATACAGTTCTTTATGGTAGTATAGATGTTTGTAATAAAGTAGAAATATTTCAAGTGGTTAAACATTTTCGATCTTTTAAGCCTCTGAAACTGCATCCAGGGCTAACAAAGTCCATATTTAAGAAACATTTCCTGACCTCAAATGTTTCCCCTAAACCCGTCTGCTGTCCTTTCAGGTCAACATTCTCCACAATATGAGGATTCTTTTTTTTTTTTTTTTTAATTGAGACAGAGTCCCACTCTGTTGCCTAGGCTGGAGTGCAGTTGCCAACCTCTGTTGCTTGGGTTCAAGCTATTCTGGTGCCTCAGCCTCCAGAGGAGCTAGCACTACAGGCGTGCACACCACCACACCCAGCTAATTTTTTTTGTATTTTTAGTAGAGATGGGGTTTCACCATGTTGGCCAGGCTGTTCTCGAACTCCTGATCTCAGGTGATCTACCTGCCTCAGCCTCCCAAAGTGCTGGGATTACAGGCATGAGCCACAGTGCCCAGACAAGGATTCTTTTATAATAATAAAATATCAGAGAAAGGGGAACTATCTTTGACAGAACATAATAAAGAGAAACTGGGTCTTGTGAACTCTTCTAGCTTGTTACCATTAGAACAAACTGCATCTATCAAACTACACAGCACAACAGTAGTAGCTGGGGAATGGAAACGTGTGTGCGCGTGTGCATGTTAGGGGAGGGAAGCAACGAGGTTCAGTGCTATGCCACAACCTGGGGAAGTGGGCCAGGACAGCTGGCTTTGAGTGATGAGCTGGAGAAGTCAAGTGCCCAAAGAAGAGTGTTAAAACCTGTCAGAGGGTAAAAAACCCCCACGTCTATCAGGCCTATTTTATGGCCGGCTACCTTTACAGTTATCATTGTATCAAACCAACTCCTTCACCTTAGCTGACGCCGTATTTTCATCCCTGGTAGAGATGATCAAGCCTCTCTGTAAAATTGCTTTTTAAGCAAAATGCTTCTGAGAAGTATAAATTTATTTTTAAAAAGACTCAAATCCTAGCTAGGAAAAAAAAAGTTTATACAAACATTCTAATGATATTTAAAAGTATTACCTCGGGTAATTCAGTAACAGCTGTTCTTTCAGGAACCTTCTCTTCCCGTAGCACATCATTTTCTTGATTAGACTCTAAAGGCTGAGGTTAAAAATATTGTCCTTTTAAAATGTAAAGGATGCTGAAGTTTGCGTTAAATATGTACGGAGCCTCACTTGGCATACACCGTTCTCAATAAATGCAAGAGCACCCAAACTCACACGCACCCCATCCAAGCTATGAGTTTCACTTCAGTTTTGTGTCTGAACTTCAGTATCAAAATTGAGGGGAACAAGAGACGGTGTTTCACACCGAAAGATCCAAAAGGCTTAGGGTTAGACAAATGCTAGTGAATTCTGTCCCCACGAATCCTCAACATTCCCCAGTCCCCAGAATAATGTGAAGTGCGTGAGAGGAGGGAGGCCGTGAATCACGGGGCAGGGCTTGTCACCTGCCCCATCCAACAGCGTCCTTACAAGATGGGGGCTCTCAGGGTTTTTCGAGCTTTCTTCCAACTCACCTCTAAGTCCCCTCCAAGGGGCTCCGCGCTGCCCTCCGGCGCCCCTCACTTTCCTCGGGAACGCGTCCCGTGGGCACAGCCCGCAGCGGGGCAGCCAGGCGCGCGCTCTCCCCACAAACTCGGCCTTGAGGGAGCCGCGGCTCCCAGCGCGGGGCGCCCTAAGGCTACGGACGGCCGAAGTCTTCGCGCCCATTTCCTTGCCTAGAAGGCGAGGACTTTCCATCCCCGATTCACAGCTGGCTCCACCCACGAAAGACAAGAGCCCGTCAGCGGCCAGGCTCCAAGACACTCACCCGGCCCGGTGCCTCCGGCTGGTCGCGGGCAGGGCCGTCGGGAGGCTCCGCGGCGACCTGCGGTCGGTTGTCCAGGCGGGCGAAGGGGTTCCTCCGGGCCACTGCCCGGCCGCCGCCGCCTCTGCCCCCCGCGGCAGGGAAAGGGCGAAGGAGCAGCCCGGCTGCCAGGGCGGCTCGACGGGCTGCCGGCTCCGGCAGCTCACCCGGCGGGGAGGCAGCAGTCCCACGGCTCCGGGCCCTTTTCCGTCGGAGCCGCACTACCTCGGGCGGCTTTTGGAAGCCCGGTGAGTAGCCGGGCACGGAAAGGGCCATGACGAGCGGCGACTGAGGACGGCTGGCAGCCCCGCAGAGACTTCCCGCGCGCGCCGGGCCCGCCCCCGACGTGGCGCGGCGCCGAGCTCCTGCCCCCGACGCGGCCCCGCCCCCACGGGTTCTTAGCGGAGCATGCGCGGCGGCAGCCCGCGAGACCCGCTGCGCAGCCGCGTGGCCGCTACCACCCACCGGCCCAGGGGTGACCCTGCCCTGACGGTCCCGCAGGATGCTCGGCCAAAGTCCAGTCGCCAGGTTCAGCGACGCTTCTGGGAAGCGTGCGATCCAGGGCGCCGATGTGTACTACCCTGTGGGGCACCGAAATAGCTGAATTCTAAATAAGCCCGCAGCAGAGATGTGATCAGCCCGGGGTTTGGAGCTTGGATGAAAAGGTAACAAACTTGAGCTGCGGTGATGGGCTGCTGCTTCCAGAAACTTGAGAGGGCAGCAGCTACTGCTCTTAAGAGGCGAGGAGAGGGCATTAGGCCACCATTCCTCAACTCCCAAATAGAGAACTCAGATAAGAGCTCAGCACGCTTCCTGTACCAGCGCGGCCTCCCGACAACCCTCCCTTCCCGGTTTCCAGTGACTGGTCATCTCAGCCTTCCAGTCAGCTGCTACTGGCAAGTTAATGTGATCCTCTTCATTGATCCTGGGGAAAGCCGAAGTGAATGAATATTTGACAACACAAAACTTAAGGGCTATGGGCTAGGTCCTTTAAGACTTCAAAATATACTCAAATTCTTAAATTATAACAGCAAAGACTTGTTAATGAAGGAAGGTGTTGAGAACGGAGCTGATACAAAATTAATACGTTATTTGGATAGTTTAGCAAAGGCCTGCAACAGATTTATCAATAGAGTAGTGTGGCTTTTGCTGATAGCAGCGGTTTTCTTCACGGAAGGAATTTTATAGCAGGGGCAAAATATATAAAAACAATGAAAAGGTTTTTAGAAAATTCCCTTAAGATGTTAATTAAAGAATTATGTTGATCATTTACACAACAATTTTTCAAATACTTTTCAATGTGTCAACTGAGCATCTTGTCTTAGCAGGGGAAACGTGCTTAAAAATGGAACTTGCTTTTATCTTCCTTGGATTTCTCAACAATTTCCAAAGAAAATTCTGGCTTCAAATACTGGAATACGTTCATCCAACTGAGGTCTGAGAAAGAAGAAAATTAAAACTGAACAACTTGCTTTTTTCTTCCTTGATTTTTCTGAACAGCTTCCATGGAAACTTTTGCCTCATACAGTGGAATGGGTTCATCCAACTGAGGTCTGAGAAAGAATGAAATTAGAAATGTCAGGTCTAGTTAAAGATGTAGAACAAACAGGACGGCATATGACAATTGCTAGTGCTTAAATCTATTAACTTTATTATTTATTTAATTTTTTGAAACAGAGTCTGGCTCTGTTACCCAGGCTGGAGTGAAGTGGCATGATCTCAGCTCATTGCAACCTCTGCCTTCCGGGTTAAAATGATTCTTATACTTCAGCCTCCCAAGTAGCTGGAATTACTCAGAGGCTGAAGTATGAGAATCAAACTGATATAAAAATCAGTTAATTTTTATATTTTCAGTAGCGATGGGTTTCACCATGTTGGCCAGGCTAGTCTTGAACTCCTGGCCTCAAGTGATCTGACCACCTTGGCATCACAAAGTGCTAGCTGGGATTACAGGTGTGAGCCACACTGAACCCAGCCTCAAATCTATTACTTTAAGTAATTCAAACATATTTGTCCATTAGTTTTTCCAAGTTAAAAGTAGTTATTAAGAAAAAAATATCTACTCCCTCTTTTTTTGGGGCGGGGGGACAGAACTTCACCCTTGTTGTCCAGGCTGGAATGTAATGGCATCTCGGCTCACTGCAACCTCCATCTCCTGGGTTCAAGCAGTTCTCCTGCCTCAGCCTCCCCAGTAGCTAGGATTACAGGTGTTCACCACCATGGTCAGCTAATTTTTATATTTTTAGTAGAGACAGGTTTTGCCACGTTGGCCAGGCTGGTCTTAAACGCCTGACCTCAGCTGATCCACCTGCTTCAGCCTCCCAAAGTGCTGGGATTATAGGTATGAGCCACTGCACCCGGCTTACTCCCTCTTTTATAAGTGATAAACAGATTCAACTTTAAACAAATATACCATGCTTTTCTCTCCTTCAAGCTGTTGGTTATTTCAAGTTGCTTTGGAAGGGGCAATGAGGAAAAGCAAAGGGTAAGGTACACTATGGAATGGAGTGAGGAAAACTCACAAGCTACTTCTTTTTCTGGGAATACTTACTGGTGCGCTACCAGATATACTTTGATAAGTATTAAAGTGCAGCTATTTATCTAAATGAAATATAAGGTCAGTGCAAAAGTAATTGCAGTTGCTTCAATGGCAAAAACCAATTATGTTTGCACCAACCTAATAATAAAATATGGAGGCAATAGATGTATGGCGAGAGCTAAAACAAAATTGAAACTGCCTGCCTTGGTTCCTTGAAAACGGAAAACAACAACAATGATTTGGTTACTTCAGCATACCTGAAAACACCAGTTGATAACTTCTCCATCACATCCTTTAAGATACGTAGCTGGCAGGATTGTTAAGGTGGCAACGTAAAGGAGAGAGAATGAAACCATTTAATAAGCAGAAGCTGCCAGGCAGGGCACTTGCTCTTTTTCAAGTTTTGCACTCTCAGATTCAAAATGTTAAGTTAGAGAAATTCTGTAGACCGTCCAGTTTAGCTCTACGACAGGGAAATGATTTGAGAGCTGGTGGTGTAATAGAGCCTAAATTTCCAAGGACAAGTAACAAGAGCAACAAGTCAAGCCTGGCGCTTAAGTGCTCACCACTGTCATCCCAATGGATGGGAATGAAATAATGTCTAGTTTTCATTTCTGTACTATGTATGGAATTTTTAGTTAAAAACAATTTTAGCACATAAATTTTAATTTAAATGTACGTTTGTTCACTAGGCTGGTTGGTAAGAGGCTCAACCTTTGTTTGCAGAAGCCAGTAAACTATGTGTGTGATATACAGTCATCCCTCAGCATCCATGAGAGATTGGTTCCAGGACCCCCACGAAGACCAAAATCTCCAGATACTCAAACTCTACAGAAAATAGTGCACCAGCTTGGGCAACAATGCTGTCTACAAAAAATTTAAAAATTAGCCAGGCATGATGGCATGTGCCTGTACCCCAGCTACTAGGGAGGCTGCGGCAGGAGGAACCCTTGAGCACACAAGTTTGAGGTTACAGTGAGCTGGAATGAGCACTGCACTCCAGCCAGGGCAACAGAGCAAGACCCTGTCCAAAGAAAATGGTGTAGTATTTGCATATAACCTAGGCACATTTCCATTATACAATAAATCATCTCTATATTACTTATAATACCTAATGCAATGTAAATACTATGTAGATAGTGGTTATACTATATTTTATTTGTATTTTTTAAATTGTATTATTACTTTTTCAGAGTTTTTTTTTTGAGATGAAGTCTTTCTCTGTCATCATGCTGAAGTGCAGTGGTGCTATCTTGGCCCACTGCAACCTCCACCTCCCAGGTTCACGATTCCCCTGCCTCAGCCTCCCAACTAGCTGGGACTACAGGTTTGCACCACCACACCTGGCTAATTAATTTGTATTTTAGTAGAGATGGGTTTTCACCATGTTGGCCAGGATGGTCTTGATCTCCTAACCTCGTGATCTACAACCTCCGCCTCCCAAAGTGCTGGGATTACAGGCATGAGCCACTGTGCCTGGCCTTTTTTTTTTTTTTGAGACAGGTCTCCCTCTGTGGCCCAGGCTAGAGTGCAGTGGCATGATCATGGCTCACTGCAGCCTCAACTTCTCAGGCTCTAGTGACCCTCAGCCTCCCAAGTAGCTGGGACCACAATGATTCACCACCAGACCAGGTTAATTTATTTTTATTTTTGTATAGACAGGATCTCCCTATGTTGCCCATGCTGTTCTCAAACTTCTGGGCTGAAGTCATCCTCCTGCCTCAGCCTCCCAGTGTTGGGATTACAGGTGCGAGCCTCTGCCCCCAGCCTCCAAATATTTTTGAACTTTGATTGGTTGAATCCCTGGATCCGGAACCATTGGATACAGGGGGCTGACTCTGTAGCACTAAGAGAATCAGAAAATGATGTAAAAATCATAGAAAAAAAATCTACCTTGCTAATTTAATTAAAATTATAATACTGGGATCAAGATTCTATTTAATTGCCTGTACTTCTGAATTATTTATAGCCAAGAATCACAGAGTTGGAAGGAGATGTCTCTGTTAGATCACAAGCAGCAACTCAGTTTGTATGAACTGAATGAGGAGGGTCTGCACAAGTGAAGACTATAGTCTGAATCAGGACTTTAGAAAATGCAAATTAGGGCTGCACGAGGTGGCTCACACCTGTAATGTCAGCACTTTGGGAGGCTGAGGCAGGTGGATCACCTGAGGTCAAAGTCTGAGACCAGCCTGATCAATATGGTAAAATTCTGCCTCTACTAAAAATACAAAAGTTAGCTGGGCGTGGTGGCATGCACCTGTAGTCTCAGCTACTTGGGAGGCTGAGACAGGAGAGCTGCTTGAACCTGGGAGGCAGAGGTTGCAGTGAGCCAAGTTTACACCACTTCACTCTACTTCACCTTGGTTCAGCCTTGGTGACAGAACAAGACTATGCCTCAAAAAAAAAAAAAAAAAGGAAAAAAAGAAGAAGAAAAGCAAATTAGAAAATATGATAAGTCATTTAAAAGTATTTTCAAAAGGAAACTAAAGAATATAAATTTACTAATTCACATCCCTGCAAGTTATCTTCCTATCTGTTAATGAAATTCTCACCTATATGCATGCGTGTGTGTATAGCATGTATTTCTGATTTTTGAAAATGTACAGTATTTCATATATGCATGTCATGTTTCAAGTTGGTTCAGGGATTTGTCAAATAGGTTAAAATTGCTTTCTTATTTGTAGGGGGGTGTGAGAGAATTAAGTTATATACTATAAGCAAAGCAGTCAGTCAATCTAGTTTCCACCATGTAAGATTCAAAAATGGCTGGGCATGGTGGCTCACACCTGTAATCCCAGCACTTTGGGAGGCTGAGACGGGTGGATCATGAGGTCAGGAGATTGAGACCATCCTGGCCAACATGGTGAAACCCTGTCTCTACTAAAATACAAAAATTAGCTGGATTTGGTGGCAGATGCTTGTAATCCCAGCTACTCAGAAGGCTGAGGTAGGAAATCACTTGAACCAGGGAGTTGGAGGTTGGAGTGAGCAGAGATCACACTACTGCATTCCAGCCTGGCAACAGAGTGAGACTATGTCTCAAAGAAAAAAAAAAAGATTAAAAACTAATAGCTACATGGTATTCTAATGTTAACTAACGTTACTTTTAATAGGTATTCTCCACTGTAGCATCTTTCCATGTTATTCTTAATAATTACAATGTTATTGGACATGTAACTTTCTTTTTTCTTCTTTTTTTGAGGTGGTTTCGCTCTTGTTGCCCAGGCTGGAGTGCAATGGTGCAATCTTGGCTCACCACAAACTCCACCTTC